AAAAAAAGCAGAAAAGATAGATATGCAAAAGAGAAGAAAAGATAAGCAAAAGAAAAAGTCAGAATCATCTATCAACCAGTGACTATTAAGTCCTTGCAGACTTCCACGTCTGTATTAGCTTTTAACTAAAACTCCCACAAGTTAATTTACTAGTATGTAGGTAAAGCCCATTCTAAGCATTTCCTCACACCAACGGCTTCTCGGGAAAGAAGCAGCCCCAGAAAGAAGCGTCTTGCCCACTTACGCTGCCCAGATTCCCCTGGAAACATTACAGCAAAGTCTTCCCAGAAACAACCTTGCTGATAATTAAACTATGGACCTCTGAAGTATTTCCAGTGACCACACCTGCAGCTCAACAACACCTGGGCTCAGAGGCCCAGGGAAATGGTCGCACTGCAGGCACTTGTAATAGTCTTTGATGGTTAATTTTATCTGTCAGTTTGGCTGGGCTGTGGTGCTCAGATGTTTTGGTTAATCACCAGCCTAGATGTTGTTGTTGTTGTTGTTAATTTTTTTTTTTTTTACATTCTGAGATGCTGTTGCAGAGCAGTTTGGGTGGAGGTGGAGAGGGGAAGGGGGAGGGAGACGGGAGGATCTGGAAGCGGGGAGGAGGATGTGTTTGAGGCCCATGGCACCCCCCTCATTCCAGCAGAGGAGGTGAGGGGGCTTCCAGCAGCAGCTCAGTCGTGTCTGGGCAGGATGCCGACGTCAGGGGTGCATGGCTGAGGCCCTCGGCCCCCCACCACCCCAGCTCAGGAGCCCAGGGCACTTCCAGCAGGAGCCTGGTGGTCATTGCTGGGATGATGCAGACATCAGGGAGATGTGACTGAGGCCCACGGCCCCCACCACCACCCCTGCTCAGGAGCCCAGGGCACTTCCAGCAGGAGCCTGGTGGTCATTGCTGGGATGATGCAGACATCAGGGGGATGTGACTGAGGACCACGGCCCCCACCACCACCCCTGCTCAGGAGCTCAGAGCGCTTCTGGCAGCAGCTCAGTGGTCATCACTGGGCTAGATGCAGACGTGGGGGTGGAGGGACATGGCTGAGGCCCTTGGCCCTCTCCCCACCCCAGCTTGGGAGCCCAGGGGGCTTCCGGTCCTTCTAGGTTTTATAGGTGTTCTTTGATGGTGTTAGACCTTTACTGGTTAATATCAGAACTTTGTCTCTGATCTGTGGATATTTTGTCTTTTCTTTCATTTCTGTGTTGGATTGTTTGCTGTTCTCACCACTTAAACTCTGCACTGGAACTAATTTGCTGTCCTTTGCTTACTTCAAAAATGGGAGAACTTCCTGTGGGGACCAGCACTTGAGCCCTCTGGTTGAGCTAAGTTGCTGCTTTGCTGCTGATGCCCTGGGGAAGGTTTTTTGTGCAGCTCAGGTTTTAATTGTTGATCTTGTAAGCACTTCCAGGTCTTGTGAGGTCTGGTGCACCTGGGTTATGTGGAAACTCTGGTCTGGGCCTGAGTCTTTTCAGCAAACTGCACCCCCTGCAGTTCTATATTCCTGTCCAGTCTCTACTGAGTGGTCCTGTGCTGGTCGGGGGACAGATTAGCTGTCCTTACTATACCCCAATGTTTCCCCAGTGGCCTGTCTCCCCTACCCCCACACTACAAACACTTCCCATGGGACAGACCATGTGACGATCCCTTGCAATGACTCACTGGCCTCTGAGTGGCTCCTTTTTCAGTTGTCTGTGGCCCCTTGCTCCTATGTGGGTCCATGAGAACCCTGTTAGGGTCTTGCTGGGGGCCACCAAGGCCCTCTTCTCCCCTGCAGCCTCCAAGCAACTTCGTTCAAAGAGCACAACAGTGGCTTTGCCAGCTCCTGCTCCGTGTGCTCACCAGGGCCAGCCTTGAAGTGGCCGGGGCTTGAAACAGTCGGAGCGGTCCTTGCTTTCTCTCATCGTGGCTTCTTCTGCCTTCATGAACTCCATCGGTCTCTCCTCTTCCCCTGAGTTCTGTTGGCCCCAGCTTGGTAGTCGTTGCTTTTTATAGTTGTAAATTGGTTTATTGTAGGAGAGAATGACGCTGGGGACCATTTATTCCACCATCCTGATTGGAAGTCTCAGGATTAACATTTAAATCAGTAGACTCTGAGTAAAGCAGATTGCCCTCCATGATGTGGGTGGGCCTTACCCAGTCAGCTGAAGGCCTTAGGAGGAAAGGCTGAAGT